GAGATCCCTGGGACCATCAAGGGAGAAGAGCAGAGAGCGGGACCCTACCCAGAAAAGCAGTGATGCCTAAGATGGAGGCAGAGATGATGACGTGGAGAGATGGAGCTGTTGGGGACTTTAGACATAGAAAGGAAGACGGGCTGTGTGCTGAGGACTGGGGGGCATGCTTGTAGTGTATACCCTTTGGATGGGTGATGATGCATGGAGGGGATTGTAACCACAGCAATGAAATGATATACTATAGGATGAATGTAAAATTAATGTTCTCCCATATAAACTATCACATAATTCACAATAAAACATTTTTAAAAAGTGTGTATTTCTATGCCTGAGAGAGTTTTGATTTAAATTTTCAGACCTAGCATTGAATATTAAGGTCTATATACGATTTAGTGCTTGGTTGCTAACAGAAAGGTTGTCAGTTCTAATCTACCGCCAACTCTGTGGGAGAAAGGGCCTTTTGATTTGCTTCCACAAAGATTACAAAGGAAATCCTGTGGGGCAGTTCGACTCATTCCTATAGGGTCTTTATGAGTCAGAATAGACTCAATAGCATACAACAATAGCAATAATATACTACTATCATATTTTTAAGGAGCTCTGGTAGTGTAGTGGTTACAAATTGGGCTGTGAACCTTGAGGTCAGCAGTTTGAAACTACCAGCTGTTCCATGGGAGAAAGATGAGACTTTCTGCTCCTGTAAAGATTTACAGCCTTGGAAACCCTGTACAGGGTCGCTATGAGTTGGAACCGACTCCACGGCACATAACCACTACCACCACCATTATATTTTTTGTGATAATTTGCCCATATAAATACTGCACGCAGACACATAACATGTGGAAATTATGAAATTAGGTAAACAGCTTTGGCATAGCACACCCATGCATATACTGTATACATCTCTAATAGTTCCAGAGATGAATTTTGTCTTCATTCACTAGTCCTTCCACATTATAGGTAAAGCATATCATTCTGTATATTTTTAAAAATCTCCTATTTATGTGTATAAAAATTATTTAAAAAATGTGTTTACTAAGGGAGAAGAGCAGAGAGCGGGACACTACCCAGAGAAGCAGTGACATCAGAGATGGAGGCAGAGATGATGATGAGGAGTGATGGAGTGGCTGGGGACTTTAAACCCAGAGAGGGAGAGGGGCTGTGTGCTGATGATGGGTAGCAGGCTTCCAGGGTATACCCTTTGGTTGGTTGATGATGCATGTAGGGGATTGTAACCATAACAACGCAATGATGTACGATAAGATGAATGTAAAGCTAATGTTGTCCCATGTAAACTCACATAACGCACAATAAAACATTGAAAAAAAGTATTTACTTTAGTCATTTGGTTTCATACTCTGGCTTCGATATGACACTCCATTGCTCCATTCATGAATCTGATGACAATCTTTTTATCAGGAAATTGTAAAAGTTAAATAATTTTGCATATCACTTTTGATCTACTGGTAAATACTTTGGGCATACATTTTAAGCAACATAAAGTCAATACCTACATTAAGTAAAGTTTCCATATGATAAGAAATATAAATTCAGCAACATGTAAAAAAATTGATATAGTGCAGTTTATGAAAATAACGTGGGCAGAGCAGGATAGGCTGGGCTGGGCTATAAGGTGGCAAAAAACAATGTGTTATTTACTATCTATCTATCTATCTATCTATTATCTATCTATCTATCTATCTATCTATCTATCTATCTATCTATCTATCTATCTATCTATCATACAAGCCATGGTATTTTCAGTCATCTCATATGGATGTGAAAGTTGGACAGTGAATAAGGAAGACCACAGAAGAATTGATGCATTTGAGTTACGATGTTGGAGGAGAATATTGAAAGTGCGATAGGCTGCCAAAAGAACAAACAGATCTGTGTTAGAAGAGGTGCAGCCAGAGTGCTCCTTGGAGGCCAGGATGGCCAGACTTCATCTCTCATACTTTGGACATATTGTCAGGAGGGACCAGTCACTGGAGAGGGATAGCATGTTTGGTAAGGTGGAGGGGTCACTGGAAGATCCCCAGTGAGATGGATGGGCAAAGTGATAACAACAACTGGCTGAAGCGTTGCAACAATTGTGAGACTACCCAGGACCGGGCAGTGTTTCCTTCTGTGCACAGGGTTGCTATGAGTTGGTACCGACTCGGCACCTAACAACAACAATGATACTCATGAGAAAGTGAGTAGTGCTCTCCTAGAACAGTGGAAAGACTGATCTCCTGGTCTGATAGTTTAAAATGTTGGCAAGAGAGTTCCAAATGTTCAGAATTGGCAGAACACATGAAAAACTCTCTCCTGACTTGATTCAGGGGAGCCTGAATGCACACAGAAAATTGTGCTAAACAAACATGTAATTAAAGTAAATATACACACTCACGCAACAGTAAACTCAGCTAACTGTTATGGATTGCAAACAAAGATAAATCTGATGTCCCAACAATCTAATAAAATAACCATGTGGACACTGAAAATAAATAATATGGAGATGAGAACTTTTAAACTTTAAATGGAGTAGGAATTATTTTGAAATATTAATTGCACATGCAAACAATATTGTTCTTTCAAATCATACACTGAGAAAGAGTAACAGAGAGAGAGACCAAGAGAAAAGCCACGCTCTGACTGTAGACAGTCATTCCACATTTAAATATTTAGAATTTTCAATAGCCTGTGAATACAAGGAAATTTATTACATTAAGGTAGTTGTTAGATGTTTGACGTGTGGCTGATATTTTCATAGTATGAGAAATATCAAGCTGACATTATGCTGTCTCTGTGATGATTGCTTCCAAATGTCAGAGTGCAGAAACATATTCATGGGACTTCAGTGCCTTACCATAGTGTCAATTTCAAAGACATTCACATTGACTTCTTTTTTATTTAAACACGCTAAATGAAGTATGAAAAGCAGGTTGAGAAATCCAGGGAGAAAGGAAGAGCAAAGAAGAAACCGTATTGACAAGAAAAATTTAAAATAATAGATTGATGTACTCTTCCATCAATTTCCATGGACTCCTTCCTGGCTGACAGCAGGCTTTAGCGACTGCCTACTAATATTTCTGACAGCTGGAGTCTTGCTGATCATATTATTTCACTCATTCATAACTGAGAGGCCTAATGTATCATTTAAATTGAACTGGGGAAATAAAAATTAAGATGAGAACTATTTCATTATTTTACAATTATCTTTAGTAAATAAATCAAATATCTAAATGAATATTTCGTATCCACTCTTAATACTAACATGGGACTTCAAACTAAAACCAAATAACTTAAGTATTTTCAACTAAAAATCCACTGTTTAGTTCACCAATCTCTTTCATAGTTAATTATGAACCACTGAACTGCTATTTTGGAAATTACTCAGAGTTTTGTTTTTTTAAAACAAATTAGTCACATCAGAGATAATTATGAGTTTAAATAAACCTTTGTCTTTCCAATTATGTGCACAGCAAGGCTCCTAGTTACTTGAGGTCACAGTAATCCCATGGTATCCTCTGAAAAGCATTTTCTCCTGAAGTCTGTCTTGCTAGATTTTTTTTCTGCTCTCAGAAGCTAGTATCTTTAATTTTTCAATTTTCTGTTTAGCAACACTGGGAAACATGATGATGATGGATTCAGAGTCTTAAAATGAGCCACGTTATTTTTGATTTCTGTAGGTCAATGATAGAAGTCACTGTGTAGCCACCAGAATTCTTGGATTTATCTCATGAAATGTTATTTCTAATACAAACAAAAGTTGCATGACCTCTGTGAACTAAGCCAGCTACTTTATTGTGGTTGTTAAGTGCCGTGGAGTCGATTCCGACCCATAGCGATCCTGTATAGGGTTTCCAAGGCGCAACTGGTGAGCGTGAACCTTGCAGTTCAAACGACTTTGCAGTCTGATGCGTTAGCCCACAGCACCACACCAGAACTCCTACTTTGGGGGCTATAAAAAATTTTTAATTGTTCCTGGAAAAACATAGGACAAACATGCTGACAGGCAAAAAAAACAAACAAAGGTTTGTAACTTTGTTCACTAGACCAAAGCCAAAACAAAAGGATGGATAGTTCTGTTACCCTCTAGCTATTAGGAGTTCTTGAGTCCTTTTCGACTAGTTTCAACATTATGTATAACAGAACAAACCTGTCCTGAGCCCATTGTTGCATCCACTGTGTCAATCCATGTCATGGAGGATCTTTTTTTCGTGTGTGTGTGTGTGTGTGTGTGTGTGTGTGTGTGTGTGGCAGATCCTTTATCAAGCAAGGAGCTCTGATAGGCTAGTGGTTACAGTCGGGTTGCTAATCTTACGGTCAGCAGTTTGAAACTACCTGCGGTTCCACGGGAGAAAGATAAGGCTTTCTGCTCCCGTAAAGATTTACAGCTTCGGAAACCCTGTTCAGGGTCGCTATGGGTCGGAACCGACTCCACGACACACTACCACCAACACCACCAACCACAATGCCTAGCCTGCCCAGGGCTCAGTCCCCAATTCGCTGCCATTGAGTAGATTCTGATTTATAGGCTGTAAATCTGTGTTGGTGGTTATGTGCCGTGGAGTCGGTTCCGACTCATAGTGACCCTGTACAGGGTTTCCGAGGCTGTAAATCTTTACCAGAGCAGAAAGCCCCATCTTTCTCCCGCGGAAGAGGTGGTAGTTTCCAACCGCTGACCCTGAGGTTAGCAGCCCAATTCCTAAACACTCTCATCTTTCTCCCGCAGAGCGGCTGGTGGGTTTGAACTGCAGACCCAGTGCGTACCCTCTAGAACCACACTTAGGCCTCTGGGGGAGGAGGGAAATCCAAACTAGAGAATGTCCCTCCTGTTAGGAATTAGCATGCAGGAGATTGTGGGCTGATGGGAAGTGACCTAGCCAGACGTTTAAAGGTCTTCATCTTGATCCCCACCTTGTCTTGGGCTACCGCCCAAGAGCCTGCGGCAAGCCGGTCGCGCCGCGGAGGTACGGAGCGCCCCCCTGTGGCTGCATGGCCGCGCTGCTCCAGGGCAGCAGCGGCGGCGGCGGCGGCGGCGGCGGAAGGGGCGGTGTCTGAGCTGGCGGAGCCACGCGGCGATGGCGGAGCCAGTGCGGGAGGAGCTTTTGGCTCTGGCTGCGATTTTCTGCGGGCAGGACGAGTGGGAGGTGCTGAGCCACTCAGGTGACTATCCCTGTGCTGAAAGTACTGAGACCACTGGCCGCCCATACTCTCCCCAGCCCTCCTCCCAGCCAGGGCTCTCTACCCCGGCCCAGGGTCCTCGGGCCACAGCCCGTCCCTCCGCGTGGGGCGGAAAGGAAGCGGGCCCATGCAATGGCCTCGGTCGTAATTGACTGATTGAAATGACACACACCGGGTCGGGAGTGTGAGGCCACCCACTAAAACGTGAATAACGCCCCTTGTTGCAAAGCTGCACAGATCCAGAACAACGTGCTCAGTTTCGCCCAATCCTTGGGCGACCCCTGCCGCGTCTGCATGGCATCCCGCCCCTCAGCCCCACGCCTTACCCTGCGCTTTAGTGGTGTGTGCCCTCTGGCTGCAATGTTACCCCCAAGTCAGCACGTATTTATTTATCCTTCAGTTGTTAAGTGCGTTTTCTGACTCAGCGATCCTGTATAGAGATATCAAGGAGCAGTTGGTGGATTTGAGCCGTTTTGGGAGTAGCAGTCCAGTGCTTACCCTGCTGCGCCACACCAGTACCTTAGCCTTTAGTTGTCATTTTTATAAGCAGCCTATCCAGACATCCCTAAGGAGCTCTGGCAGCGTAGTGTATTACTAGTTGAGCTGCTAAACTAAAGGTCAGCAGTTCGAATCTACCAGCCACTCAGCGGGAGAAAGATGAGGCTTTCTGCTCCGGTAAAGATTTATAGTGTTGGAAACCCTATACAGGGTCACTATGAGTCAGAATCTACTCCACGGCACATAACTACTACAGTAAATTCAGCTTCCCCAAATTACATTATATCCCTTAACTTCATAGCACTCACTTCAATTTTAACTATATATGGGTATTTGCTTGTCTGAAATTGTATGTTAGCAAGACCTTTGTTTAGTAATCACAACACCTCAGACACCTAGAACAGGCATATGGTAAGTAGTAAATGTTGAATGAATTAGATGACGGCTCAACAGTGGGAGAATTCTGTTCTTTGTGGGATGCCTTCTGGCTAATGGACGTTATGTGCAGCCAACTATTACTGGAGGCTTGTGTTTGTAGTATGCTGAGCAGGTTGGAGAGCTTCTAGACTAAGACAGATGAGGAAGAAAGGCCTACTTGTCTACTTACAAAAACCACTCAAAGCCTTATGGATCACAGTGGTCCAGTCTATAACCGTCGACGGTATGGCACAGTTACCCCAAAGCATTGCCTACTGTTGTGCACGGAGTCACCATGAGCCAGTGGTGGGACTCAGTGGCAGCTCACAACAACTTGTTATGTTTCCAAGTTAATGGCTTGTTTCTGCAACTTAAAAAAAAAAAAAAAAAATCTACTGAAAGGTGGTTGCCAATTACAGGTTCTTTTCCCAAAAGAGCATTAATGTATTACATATTTTGAATTCCTACTCTCTGAAAACATTGATGGGTTCGGAGATGAGAAAGGCACTGTTTATATCCTCTAGGAACTTAGTCTAGAAAGGTGGCTTCTATGCACAAAATGGAGCGCTGGTGCGGTGCTGCTGGTTAAAGCGCTGAATTGCAAAGTAAGTTTGAGTGTCATGGTTGGTGGTTCAAGCTCATCAGCTGCTCCTTGGAAGCCTTATACAGGGTTGTTATGCGTTGGAACTAACTCGCCAGCACTTACCGACAACATTTTTAGAAACTACATTCAATTTTATTTACAAAATACATTCAGTTTAAGAAGTGCAGTGATGTAGGTCTTTCACCATTTCTGTGTAACTTTCAAATACATTATGTATATTTGGGGGCATGATATTTACCCTTCCAATGTAGTGTTTCAGCTACTATTCAAATTGGCTTTCTGATCATAAATTGGTTGATCTTTAAGAAGGTAATGTAAAATGGGCTGGATGTTGTAAGAAAGCCGTCTAGAATTTAAGATGTTTCCGCGGCAGCCATGTGATGTGTTACACACAGATCTGGAATTGGCTCCTTTTCATTTCTTCTTGCGTTCGCTCATCCACACACATTCATTGAACAGGTTATGTTCCAGGCACTGTGAATGTATTCGTGTACTATAACTGCTTTTTTTTTTTTTTAGTTCTTCGTCTGCTTTGTATTTTTTTTTAAACAGTTGTTTAAAATTCACATGAAAGTGTTAGTTTTTCTAATGTTGTCCCCTATTCTGATTAAATATTTCTAATTCTGCACAATATCTCTTCCCATCTGCATTGCTCTCTTTACTGATAGTTATGTCTGCCCGAGGGAGCCCTGGTGGCACAGTGTGTAAAGTGCTCTGCTCCTAGCCAAAAGGTTAGTGGTTCAAACCCACCAGCTTCTCCAAGGGAGAAAGATCTGACAATCTACTGTAAAGATTGTTGTTGTTGTTTAGTGCCGTTGAGTTGATTCCGACCCATAGCGACTTTGTATCAGGTTTCCAAAGAGTAGCTGGTAAGCTTGAACCACCGACCTTGCAGTTCAAACAGCTTTGCCTTGGAAACCCTGTGAGGGAACTTCTGATCCGTTTTATAGGGTTTTTATAAGCTGGAATTGACTCAGTGGCAGGTGGGTTGGTTTTTTTGGTTTTGAGGCAGTGTAGAAAAGATGAGGCGTTCTGCTCCTGTAAAGATTTACAGCCTCGGAAACCCTGTACAGGGTCACTATGAGTCGGAACCGACTTCACAGCACTTAACAACAACAATTTGAAAGGAGCATCAGTTTTCCTAAATTCCTTTATTGTGGCTCCATTGGGAATGCCCTGGGAAAGTGAGCCTGTGATTTTTGTATCACACTTTAAAGAGGATGGTGTGGTAGTGGCTTGGGTCAGAAGTACACATTTAAGAATAAAACACTGCTGATTTGTCAGAGACAACCCCCCACAAATAAGCAGAGAAAGAAAAGGAGCAGTTTTTGTTTTTTAATATTGAGAACACCATGAACCCTCTATCTCCTGTTAAATTGAGCATGACTTTTAAGCCATGCCTCCTAATTAATTTAATTCAGTGATCTGACATCAATAAGTAATTAAATTATAAAAGAAGTCAGTGTAACAACTTAGGACATTTTGTTGCTGAAAGCTTCACTGGAGAGTAGAACGATTCAGTGCCTGAAACGGAGGTGTGATGTTGACAACTGGGAATGAAAGGTGAGGTAAGGACCTGTTTAACAGATCAGGAGAAAGGTGCTGTCAGGTTGGGCTGGAGGATATAAATTCGACGGCTGATGTGGGTTGAATTGTGGCTCAGAAGATGTGTTCAAATGCTAACATCTGGTTACCTGTGAATAATGTGACCCTGTTTGGAAGTAAGATCTTTGCAGATATAATCAAGTTAAGATACGGTCACATTGTATGAGTTGTTGTTGCTATTGTTGTTAGGAGTCAAGTCAAAGCAAGCCACATGACAAGGTCACCGTCCCATAGGGTTTCCTAGGCTATGTGGAGCTGTGGGTTAATGCGCTGTGCTGCAACGTTTGCTTGAGCTGCAAGGTCAGTGGTTCAGGCTTACCAGCTGCTCCTCAAAAACCCTATATAGTGTCGTTATGGTTGGAACCAACTTGATGGCACTTAACAACAACAACAGCAATCTTAGGGAAGCAGATTGCTAGATCTTTCTTCTGCAGAACTGCTGGGTAGGTTCACATCACCAATCATTCCACTAACAGCAGCTAAGTCTTAACTAGTGTGCCAGCAAAACTCCTATATTGGTTGAAGGTGGACCCTAATCCAATATCTCGTGCCCCTATAAGAAGAGGGAATTTGGACACAGATACAGAGAAGAGAAGGGCATTTGCAGAGAAAGGTAGAGAACCAAGTGGTGCAGCCAAGGAATACCAAGGATTGCCAAGCAACCATAAGAAGCTAGGAGAGAGGCAAGAAAGGATTGTTCCCTAGAGCTTTCAGAGCCATCAAGGACCTGCCAAGACCTTGACTTTAGATTTGTAGCTTCCTAAAATGTGAGAGAGTATCTTTTATTCTAAGCCATCCAACCTTTGGTACTTTGTTACACAGTCTCAGGAAATTTACAGTACGAGAACGTCCAGTGTACCTTCAGTTGTGTCTTGGCTTCTCTCTGTTGCCGCTTGACTCTGGAGAATGTTAATAGAGGGATTGCACATCTTGTGATGTGATAGCCCAGGAAGTTTAGGCTGCCAACTTGACCTGGGTCAACTGGTAAGCCATAAAATTGACGAGGATGAATAATTGGATTCAGTTTAGCTTTAATTGGGTTAATTTATGCTGAGAATTTTTGAAGTTTATCTCTGTTTTGGCCTCTCTGCAATGGTTATAGTAAGGTCATAGTAAAAGGCACTGGGGATACATTACGTAAGCCCCACCCTCCTGTCTACCAAGAGGACTGTGAGTTGGTCAGATCAGAGGTGTTATATCCTTCCCTTGTGGTGCTGTCAGTCCAGGTACCAGGTTTAATGGAGTCACCGATCATGTGTCTGATACACTAATGCATTTTACTCAGTGAGAGGTACTCAGCCGTAGTTTACGGATAAGACAACGTACTCGGACTGTTTAAGTAACCAGGAGGCTTGAGTAGGAAATGGGCCCGTGTACCGCATCATGCATTAACTCATTGCTCCTTAATAGAGGTGGGGCTCAGCTTCAGGGAACATTCTTAGAGAGCAAGGCTAGCACTTATCCAGAGACAGCAATAATGAACAACCACCCAGAGAAAAGACATGGGTCTGACTCAAATTATGTTCTAAATAATTCTGAGGGCTTGTGTGTGTACATACCTACAAGATGGATGAGATTGGTATTGTTATTTATCTCTTTTCCTTGTGGGGAAATTGAGGGTCAGATTCCATAACTGTAGGCAATGCCCATTATATGTAGGAGTTGGGTTTCTGGAAATTATTTCATAAAGACCAAACAAGTAAAGTGGGAGATGTGTAGAATAACCCTGCGTCATGTAGCATGTTCGCACAGTAGCTGCAGAATGATGTTTCATGGTTAACACTAATGCTCCGATTGGATTGAGCCCACTTGTAAAATGAATCATGACTGTCACACTTTGTCTGGTCAGCTCTGTTCC